GCACTTCTCTGACTGCACGACAGAACCTCTTAAAAACTGCCCAGTTTCAGGCATTAAGGCTTTTCTGCAAATATTCTACTATGATAACAGTTCATGAAGAGAAAAAGATGTAGCTGATATTTTCTTCAGGAAAACAACTTCACCTTGTCCTTGATTAACTATTCTATTAATTTTTTACTTCTTGAAACCATGAGTTTCTTCCCCTCTAATTTTAATTCTGATGATAAACATAATATGGTCGTTGTAGAAAATTTGGAAAGTTTAGGCAAGAGAAAATAAATGCAAAAAAATGTTTTCCTACAATCCCACTCCCCAAGCAGAGACTAGTATAATTTTGGCAAATTTCCTTTGTCCTTTGCACATATCAAATAGAGTCAAGGTGACAGTTTATTGATAATTCTGAATCCTTTTTGTGTTCCAGTCATCACTATGTCAATAATATTTTCTAATATTATTTAAAAATCATTATTAAGCTCATTTTAATAGGTGTACAAAATCCTATCGACAAAATCCTATCGTAACATGTACTGTTACTTATTTAATCAGTCCCCCAACATAGGACATCCTGGTAATTTCCTCCCTTTCATCATCATAAGGTATCTGAGTTAATTCAACTTTATTCCATATTCTTTTTCATTATTATTTTGATCTATCCTGAGCTTTGGAAGATTATTTAATATGGCCCTTTCATTTCCAGGCTGCCCTGCTTCTCCATTTAGCTGCTTCTTCTCTAAATTGTCCTAAGAAACTTGAACAATCTTCTCTTCACAGACATACTTCAACCTTGGATTCCAGCAAATGCTTTCTGGTGCTCTCGCTGATCTCTCTCCCGATAGGTAGGTAAGTAGGTAGATAGATAGACAGGTAGATAGACAAAGATAGAGATATCTATAAAGAAAGAATATCTCACATTCATAAAATAAATAAATGCTTAATTAATTGCCTAAATTTTAAAAATCCCTCTTTATTTTTATGCATTTCTAAAGGCAAATATAGTATGATAAAAATAGAAAAGCATTGGATTGAAATCAGATTCTTAGTACAATTCTGCTTCTCTCTTACATGTCACTAAATTACTTGAGCCCTGTTTCCTCATTTGTAAAATAAGAAATGTACTTAGAGATCTCTACGTTTTCTTCTAATTCTATCGTTCTCTGACTGGAGCAGTTTATAATTCTGCTCAGTTGAGTGATCTTGTGTACCAACCGGACTTCAAAGGGGAAAGCTGAAGCCCCTCCTCGTATTCCAGATAGGACAGGTCTGCACGAGAACTAGAGCTTTACCAAAGTTGGAAGACTTGGGAGAGAAGTCAGGAAAGTTGCCACCAACTACCCCAGCCTGAAGTACTAATGTGGATGGTTTTCAAGAGATGAACCAAAAGCTGCTAACAATCTGGTGAGCCTCTGGGAAGCTCCTCACACAAACTCACCCAGTCTGCTCACAGTCAACAGGTGAGTCTCAAGAGTTCACTTTGGGGACTTCACTGGTGGCGCAGTGGTTAAGAATCTGCCTGTCAATGCAGGGGACAAGGGTTCGAGGCCTGGTCTGGGAAGATCCCACATGCCGCAGAGCAACTAAGCCCGTGTGCCACAACTACTGAGCCTGTGCTCTAGAGCCCGCGAGCCACAACTACTGAGCCCACGTGCCACAACTACTGAAGCTCATGCACCTAGAGCCTGTGCTCTGCAACAAGAGAAGCCACCTCAATGAGAAGCCCGCACACAGTATGCACGACCAACGTGATAATTCTCAAGCTCATCTAGAAGCAGCTGGAACCTCTGTCTGCCTTCACATCTACCCTCAACTGCCTCTGGTACTTCTCCTTCTCTTCCACCTCAAACTTTCACTGAGGACCATGTAGTAAGGGGAATGCTGAGAAACGTATTTCATGCCTTTGAGAGTCTCTCAACTTCATCTGTAAAATACCTATTAAACAGATAGTTATTTAGTCTCTACTACAGTCATGGTACTAAGCTTGGTATTACTACAACAAGTACCAAGAAACATAACAGGAGTAACCACTGCCCTTAAGAAGCTTACAGCCAATTCGAAGAGAAGATACCTCCAGGAACCATAATTGGATGGATATTGAGCTAGACACGCAAGATATAGGGGGGCCCACATTCCTTTTAGTGCTATTCAAAAGCCATGCTTTTAAGATACTAAAAGTTACTTATAGAAAAAGGAATAACAGGTGAAAATCAGGATACACCCCCAGAGGTTACCTGCTGTGTATATCCCCTGCTTGAAGAAAGCTCAAAGGAAACTATGTGGAATCCCCAGGAGGGGGCCCATGAGACCTAAAAAGGGGACTCCTCAGGCTGGGTTTTGGTGCCTGGCGCTTTGGAGACTGGTGCTTCTTTGTAATCCCTGTTTATTGTCCTTGCAACATTTTAAATGACGTAAAGTACATGAGATTTTTTCCCCAAATCATCTTGTGATTTATTTCTCAAGAACTTAACAAGTAGTGCTTAGGATGCTCAGCAGATGCATGGCAGGGGTACCTGGGAAAGCATGACACCATGTGTTGTGGGCTACATTGTGTTCTTCCAAGATCTTTACATGGAACCCCTAACCCCCAAGAATGAGACTGCATTTGGAGATAAGACCTTTAACGGCATAATTAGGTTAAAATGAGGTCATATGGATGGGACTTCTTCAACTTGACTGATGTCCTTATGAGAGAAAATGTGGACACACACAGAGGCACCACAGGTATATGCACACCGAGGAAAGACCATGTGAAAACACAGTGAGAAGGCAGCCATCTGCAAGCTGAGAAGAGAGGCCTCAGAAGAAACCAAACCTGACAACACCTTGATCTTAGAGTTCTAGCCTACAGAACTGTGAGAAAATCAATTTCTGTTGTTTCAGCCCAGCCTATAGTATTTTGTTACGGCAGCCGCAGCAAACTAATACACTTATGGTAGCCACCACGGGCACTACCATGGGATTTGGAACAGCTGCTACGGACACGGGTCCTACAGCCTAAAAGAAGCCTCCTAACAAGTAGTTTTTGGCCAATGATCAGCATAAATTAATAAAATTCTCTATTAGTTTGAGGCGATGCATAGCTAAGTACAGAGAGGATATAAGCTTCATGAGGGCAAGCCCCTTACCTATATTACTGACTGCTGTATCCATAGTGTAAGCGTACATTCGATGAATTTTGAAAAATACATAATCTTATAAAACTATCACATACAGATATAGAATGTTTTCACCACCTCAAAATGTTCCCTCATGCTCCTTCACAGTCAATCTCCTTCCCCAATCCCCTATGATGGAAATTACGCAGAATATAGTCTTTGGGTCTTGGCTTATTTTACTGAGCTTTGATATTCACCTGTTCCTTTTTATTTGTTAGGAAAGTCAGTCTCACACATGCAGTCTTTCAACCTCTGCTCGGTCACACAAAAATGGGCCTTAGGCCTGGAAAACTTCCTTACCAAGAGATACGGAGCCCACACAGCCTGTGCCGGGCTGACTGCTTTCACTCTCTCATGCTGAACGAGTGTTCCTTTGTTCTGCTTAAGCATGTATGTCAGTGGCTCTCAAGCATGGCCCCAGGTTTCAGTATTTCAGACTCCACACAGGAGAGGTCAGTGTCCTGCTGCTGCAGTACAAGAGGGGTGCACACAGGCCGATTTCCCTGGTCAGCTGCCAGGGGCATCTGCTAGCCATTAGAGGTGGACACACACTGGAGCTGATCTTGCTGTCTCTTCTCTATGTGAGTGAAAGCACTGTTCCATCCAGTGTTTGACTGTGCTGTGTTTTCCCTGGCAACTCTGATACCAAGTTACAGTGGGGGAAAGTGTTTGGACTTCTATTCCTGGGAGCTGGCATTGTGATGATCTTTGCTGTCCTTCAAGTAGCTGCAGTCCTACCCTGGCAGTGATTACTGGTACATGGTGTCCTGCCCCACATTATTGTTGAGTAACATTCCGTTGGATGGATATCATAATTTGCTTATCCATTCACCAACTGATGGACATTTGGAGTGTTTCTACGTATGGCCATTATAGATTATGTTCCTCTTAACATTTGGGTACAAATCATTGTGTGAATATGGGGGTGTTTTGGTTTGTTTTGTTTTTACTCTTGGATAAATATGTAAGAGTGGTACTGCCAGACAGGATGTTAAGTGGATATTTAAATTTATAAGAAACTGCCAGAATGTTTTCTAGAATGGCTGCACCATGTTGCATTCCCACAGCAACGCATGAACGTTACAGTTGTTTCTCATCCTCACGAACTCTTGCTATTATAGACTTTTTAATTTTAGTCATTCCACTAAGTGGGCAGTGGCCCTTCACTGTATTTCCCTGATGACTAATGATGTTGAGCCTCTTCTCATGTGCGTATTTACCATTTGTATATGTTCCTTGATTAAACGTCTATTCATACCTTAGCCCATTTTTTAAAAAAACTGAGTTATCTTATTACTGGGTTGTAAAAGTTTTTTCTCTATTCTGGATACAATTTCTTTATCAGCTACCAGTTTCAAAAATATTTTCCCTCGGCCTGTGGATTATTTTTCCCTTTATTTGACAGTGTCTTTTCAAAACAAGTTTTGGTGACATCATCAAGATGGTGCTATCGATTGATCCTGACTTTAGTTCCTCCCACAAGAAGAACTAGCAATTATGCGTAGACAAAAACACCATTGTGAAAATCCCAGAACCCAGGGGTGGGGCTGAAGCACCCGCCTGGACCACAGAGACCAAGAAGGACAGCACTATAAAGGTGAGAAGAGAGGCTACACTCTGACCACATCACGGCTCCTCAGGCTGGCACAGTGCCAAACTGAGAGGGCCCCCGTCAGCTTACTGTTTCTCCAGGGGAAAATGAGAGACCAAGTTAGACACCCAGCTCCCCCAGCACTGAAGGACACTTCCCAGGAGGGCCATTCGGGTCTCACCTCCCAGGAATTACTGGGGTAATCTGCAGGATTCAGCCGTGGGGATCAGATAAAGATGGGGAAGGAGGGCGGGACTTACATCAATCAGATCTTGGTGGACCACATTCCTGCTTGCAGTGGCACCAGCGTAGAAATCTCAGCCAGTGGCTCTGCCCATCTGCAGAGCCAACTTGGTGGCCCCGTCTGGTCAGGGAGCTCATCCAACGTGCAAAGGGACTTCAATCTAAAATGGAATGGAGATATGAAATGGAGAATCTCACACATGCGCCCACAGGAAAATGAAACAAGAAATGAAACAGTGGTTTCCCCTAAATGCCTGACTAGAACTATCTAGAACTTATCTCCTAACCAATGAACATCCACCGAGAATCTCTCCCCATCGTCACTCAAGCCAATGAATTTGCGGCTTGAACCCTAACTGGCCTCCCCCGACTCTTTACACCCCTTCTGCATTAACACAGCCTGCCCCAAACCTTCAACAGACTCGCCTGTAGCTTGCTACAGTATGTTTCCCGAACTGCAATTCATCTGCTATTCCCGAATAAATTCAATTTCTGGTAATATGAGCTTGCCTCAGCTTACCTCTTTTTTTAGGTTAACAGGCAGTTCTACCTGATTTGGTGCCCAGTCAACAGACTGTACAAGGAGTGGAGCCCATTCTACTGTGTCGCAAGGGCAGGAAGCAAATTTGCAGCCCTGCCCAGCTGTTGAGCATAGGCTCCAGTCCCATCCATCCAGCAAGCATGGCCAAGAACACTGGCAACCACAGAGCCCATCCTACAGCCCCACTCTGGCAAAGAGCTAAGCCAGCAGCCCTTCCCAACAAGTATAGCCTCTGGTCTTCCATAACCAGGGAGCCTGAACAGTACCCTGAGCAGACTTAGAGCCCAGCCTACAGCCCTGCCCAATCACGGACACCACCCAGGAATCCGCTTGAATGCACAGCCTAGCCAGCAGGCCCAACTGACTCTACAACCCAGCCAGGGGCACCCTCCACACACACACCTCAGAGCACCTCACCCACATAGAGACCCTGATAGCAAACCATGGGCTCTACCAGCTGACGTGTCCAGTACCCCAAACTGAGCTGACTGGTGAAGCTCTTTCCCTGCCAAAATGAACCTGTAAAGTCTAGAAGAGGAGATGGAAACACGTAGATACCAACGCAAGGAATCCAGGATCATGAAGAATCAGGTAAACATGATAAAACCAAAGGAAACTAATAAAGTTCCAATAACTGAACCTAAAGAAATGGAGAGTATGAACTCACAAAGAATTCAGAATCATCCTCTTAACAGAAGTTTAGTGAAGTACAAGAATATATCCTAAAGGAAATTAGGAAAACAATGCACGAACAAAATGAGATGGCCCTTGAGGGCATTATGCTAAGTGAAACAAGTCAGACAAAGACAAATACTGTGTCTCACTTATATGTGTAATCTAAAAAGAAAACTGAAGTCATAGAAACAGAGAACAGATAGGACAGATTGGTGATTGCAGGGGCAGGGGGAGGGGCAGTGAAAAATCACAAATTTCCAGTTATAAGATCTATAAATTCTAAGGATGTAATGTACAGCATGGTGACTATAGTTAACAATGCTGTATTATATATATGAAAGTTGCTAAGAGAGTAGATCTTTTCTCATCACAAGAAATAAAATGTAACTATGTGAGGTGATGAATGTTACCTAAACATATTGTACTAATCATTCCATAATATATACATACATCAAATCATTATATTATATACCTTAAACTTATACAATGTTATATGTCAATTATATCTCAATAAAATTGTGAAAAAAGATGAATAAGTTCTGGGGATGTAATGCACAGCATGGTAGTTATAGTTAACAATACTGTAATGTATATTTAGAAGTTGCTAAATGAGTAGATTATTTTTGTTTTAAAATTTTTTCTTCTTTTTCCTTTTTTTTAATGGAAGTATAGTTGATTGACAATATAGTGTTAGTTTCAGGTGTACAGCATAGTGATTCAGTACTTTTGCAGATTATATTCCATTATAGGTTATTACAAGATAATGGGTATAATTCCCTTTGTTCTACAGTAAATCCTTGTTGCTTAAAAGAGTAGATCTTAAAAGTTCTCAACACACACACAGGATCATAACTATGTGAGGAGATAGATCTGTTAACTTTTACTGTAGTAACCATTCTGTAATATATACATACACCAAATTGCACACATTAAACTTATACAATGTTTTATGTCAATTACATCTCAATAAAGCTGGAAAAAATAAACTTTTTAAATGAAAAGCAATTTTTTCATTTTGATGAAGGCCATGTTATCTTTTTTTTTCTTTCATGGTTTGTGTTTTTCGTGCCCTGAGAAATCACTGTCTAGACCATGATCACAAATATTTTCTCCAATAGTTTCTTCTAAGCATTTTATAGTTCTAACTTTAATATTTATGTCTATCATCTACTCCAATGAATTTTTATATATCATGTGAAATGTATTCCACATACATTAACTTCATCTTATCAATATACCTATATTAATTTTTATCTAGTTTCAATAATAGCATTGTAATTTTGATTTTCTTTCTTTTTTTTTTTTTTGCAGTATGCGGGCCTCTCACTGTTGTGGCCTCTCCCATTGCCGAGCACAGGCTCCGGACACGCAGGCTCAGCGGCCATGGCTCACAGGCCCAGCCACTCGACAGCATGTGGGATCTTCCCGGACCAGGGCATGTCCCCCGGCATCGGCAGGCAGACTCTCAACCACTGCGCCACCAGGAAAGCCCTGTAATTTTGATTTTTTTAAACAATTATTTCCCTGTCTTTTAGAAATACATACTGAAAGTCTTACTGATGAAATGCTATTATTACCAGGGAGTGTGAAGGAATAGGCAGAAATATAGTAGCTGAAGCAGTGTTGACCACACTTGATGTTTTTTGGGGCTGAGTGATGGCTACATAAGAGTTTGTTGAACTAGCCTCTCACTTCTGTATGTTTGAAATTTTCTACAATAAAACTTAAAAAAAAATTGCAACACGAGGAAACTAAGCTGGAGAAAGACAGTTGAGGATACTTATGTTTTTAGATTTATTCTTGGTTAAGTCACACTTCAATTGAGTTACCTGATTAGAAGGAAGAAAAAATAACATAAACTCGCCAAACACATTATGATTGTGGTTGACAATCTTAAAATGAAATCCCAGATGTATTATTTACTGTAACTCTACACAATTACACTCTACGCCATTTGGTTAGAATGGGATTTGCACTTAAAGTTGTGAAGATCAAATAAAAATGAGCAAGATATCTGGCACATAAAAGTTAGTCTGATATCTTCAGTTTCATTACCTATCCCAATGCCTACCAAATACTGGGCATGTGCTTCACATTTTAAAATTAATTTGAATAGGATTTAATCTCATACTGCTCTGATGGCCTATATTAGAGGAGTCTAACGTAGAGCAAAATGGCATGCTCTTCAAGAATCAAAACTCTTAACTTGTTTTTGTAAGGTTTTGCCTTACAAAAATCCTGGCACACTGAGTACTTGCATTTGCGATCTCAACTGTACAGTTTAACCAGCAGCAGCATCAAATGAAAGTATTAGAAAAAGAAAAATGACCCCTGCTTTCTTTCCATTCTGCAATAGCAGTTCTATTTAAACTGAGAGAGGCAACAGTTCCAAGGATTAATTTGGTAATCAAAAGAAGTATAATTTCCTTTTCTTATAAGGAAGTTCCAAGACACATGCATAGTTACCTATCAGGCTCTCTTACTCTTTTTAAGGTTTCTTATTTGTCTGACATAGCAGCAGGAGAAAGACACTAATTTTCGAATCTGGCAGACCTAGGTCAAATTCTGAGTTTCTCCCTTCCTGGTAAGCTTTGCAAGTCAGTAAATCTCTTCTTTGCCAATTTCATCTGTCAACTAGGGTTTAAGAACAAATATTTACTGGTTGCCTACCACGTGCCAAGAAATCATGTAAGTGAACAAAAAAGAAATTCCCAGTCCATGTGCAGTTTACATTCTAGTAGTTAAATAACTTACCTAGTCATATACTTACTAATTGGCTGAACCATAATTCAAAGACAGTAGTCTCAGTGTAGAGTATATACTCCAAACCACTAAGTTATATCACCATTTTATTGTGAGATTAAATGACATAAGCTGTGACTAGATGGAAACTCAATCATAGCAACTAAAATTACTTATTTTCTTTTTTTCAATCACCCTTACTAAGATATAATTTACATACAACAAAATGCATTCACTTATTAATTTTTATGGACTCAACGTTGTTCATAATATTATCTAGTTATTCCTTCAATGTTTACAGTATCTGGTAATTTGTAACTTGTGTCTTCTCTTTCCTGATGAGTCTAGTTAGATGTGTCAATTTTGCTATTTTTTTAAACTAGCTTTTGGTACCAGTGATTTTTTTCTATTGTTTTCCCATTTAATATTTTATTGTTTTCTATTTTTATCTTTATTGTTTCCATCCCTCTACTTACTTGGATTTAACATGTTCTTCCTCTTCTAACTTCTTAAATTGGAAGCCTAGATTATTGATTTAGACCTTGTTTTTTTTCAAACATAAGCAAGTATGTTTGAAATTTCCCTCTGAACACTACTATAGCTACATTTCACAAATTTCAATGTTATGTTCTCATTTTCATTCCATTCATGTTACATTCTCATTTCCCTTGCAATTTATTTTCTGAGGTTTTCTCTCTCTCTCTTTTCCATCATTCTTCTAGATTTACTGAGTATATTTTAGTTTTCCAACTTGTTTCCACTACTGGGTTATTGGCTATACATGTTTGTAGTTGTTTTAGTGGTCATGCTAGGGTTTATACATCTTTAATTTATCACAATCTTCCTTCAAATAATATTATACTGTTTTACTTATAAGAACTTTCAACAATATACTTCCATATCACCCTGCCATCCTTGTTTTTATATATTTTACTTTTACATATTTCATAAACATGACAATATATTTTTGTCTTAAAAAGTCATTTATCTTTTAAAAAGATTTCAATTAGAAAAAACAATTTTGATCTCTACCCTCTTATTTACTACTTCTGGTACCCTCCACTCCTTTTATCTACATACAAATTTTCATCTGTGACATTTTTCTTCAATGTTTTTTATATTTTATAGTGCAGGTCTGTGGCAACAAATTTTCTCAGCTTTAGTTTGTCTAGGGCAAAAAAAAAAATGTTTTCCCCTACTTTG